CTCTGTTTATTTTTACTTAAATTTAGAAAGATATGCTTCATTTCTACCCTCAATCTTATTGCTACATTTATTTGCTATTTAAAATTGAAATTAAAATATACCCTCAATCTCACTTATGAGCAAAATATATTATAACAATCTTTACTAATTTTATAACAATACATAAACTATACTCCCTCCGTCCCATATTAGATGGGCACTTCCAACTTTACACGGTGATTAAGAAATCATTAATACATTGGAAGACTTCACCATTTTCGAGATCAAAAATTTAAAAAAAAATAAATTGTATCAATTAAAATTATGTCACGTAAATTGAGACAAACCTGTCCGTCTTGGTTGAAGACAAAAGCACCAATACCAATACGATGAGAAGCATTAGCAGGAAAAGTATGAGGAATTTCATGAGGAATCCAATAAACAAGCATCAAATATGTTGCCTCTGCATGATGATACCAAAATCCCTCCTGCATTAATTTAATTTATCATATTATTTTTAATTAATTAAACACATATTTATATGAATTTAAAATAATCTAATGGTAGTAATTAATTATTAGTGGAATAATATTTTCATGAATATATTTACCTTTACTGCTGCATTAACAAGATGAGCAAGTTCTATAGGTAACTTAATCCAAACACCCTTCTTTCCCTGACCATCAAAATCGAAGGAAAAATAATAAAAATAAATTAAAATTAGTGAGATTTTTGTTTTCAATGACCGGTTGGTAGTATAATTTAATTTGTTATAGCAGGTTATTTTATCTACTTATTATGTATTAGGAAGTTCAATTGAGTTTGATGCATGTAAATTGAACAATTAATTATGTCATGCTTACTTTGACTTCAAGTTATTAGCGTTAGTTCTTAAGTTGCAAGCGTTTGTGATTTAAATATTTGTTGAGATTCACTTATCCTCTTAAGTGATAATTAGAAGTCCATATAATATCATTTATCATTGATTCTAGGTTACTAGTCAATATGATTAAATAAATTTATTTGCAATTACCTTTTGAGTGATCACAATATTTGTAAATATATTTTTTACACTATACATATAACTTAAACTCAAATATTACGACCGAGTAAATATCAAGTATATATATTATACATAAATACCTTTAGCCTCCAATGAGAAATGGAAGCCTTGAGCATAGAATGAAATTTAAGAAAATCCATAGGCTCCTCTTTCTTCATGTTCACAATAACTCCTCCATAATTATCTTCAATTGCCTCAAATATCTCCATTTTTATGTCAATTGATGCCTCTTCAAAGGAATCCATTAATTCTGAGCTTTTCAAACAACTAAAGAAAGAAAACATAATTAGGTAAAGAAATCTGAACAATTTAAGTGCTAATCATAATTAAATATAATATTTTTCTTTAAAAAATAGTAAAGATATATACAATCAGATTTGTTGCATCCAACAAATATATTGTAAAATAAGCGATAGCTTAGTTAGCAAATCGCACCAGATGATATTTAGAGATAGATTCAAAATTTGAATTTTATAAAATATGTTTCGAAATTTACCATGCACAACCAAAAAAGTAAGAAGATTTTTTTAATTTGTATATTTTTGACATACCATGAGATTTTGGTGGATATCATGCTATTAATAATAAAATGATAAATTTAAAATTAAATTATTTTTAAATATAAAAATATGTTTTTTTTTTCTTAACAGATTAACCAAAAATTAATCATGACATATAAAATGAAACGATGAGAGTAATATGATTTAGTACCTCAGAGTATATGGTAAAATTGGACATAATATATTATGAAAATTTTAATGAGCTAATCAAGTAACACGTGGAGACGCATATGCAAATCAGTAAATAAAATAAAGAAAAATTACAAACTTTCATAAGTATATATTTGCAAAATACTAAAACTATAAAGTTATAAGCAACTAGGAAATAAGTTTTGTTAAGCTAATTAATATACGTAACATACCAATTAGCAAAATATATTAGAGATTGATTTCTTCAGCTAGAGTAGCTTGAAAATATTGTAATTATAATGCCCTATTTATACAAGCTGGCTAGATGGAAAAAATACATAATTTTTTAATGGAAATTGAGAAGAAATTTACATGGCATGAAGCACATTCCTAAGGATCGTATTACTTTCCTCCGATTTACTTTTGCTTGTCCATTAGATATTTCAAACATAGATTTTTATTTTTACTTATCAGTACCTTTAACATATTAAGAAAAGATAGTTACTTTTTTTCAATGTCAGTATTAAAAAATCACTATTTTTCTATTAAATTTTTCCACTAGAAGTATTCGGCGTGAAAGTTTCCACAAATATTCTGATTGAATCGGTAGAGTGAAAAAATAGTAATGTTTTCGTACAGAAAAATTAGAAAGTTTCCACTATTTAATTCAATGAAAATTTGTTTCTCACTATGCATTTTCCTTGTGAGCTGGTTAGATAAGAAATAAGTCGAAAAATTATGTTTTATAGCATAAATTTTCCTTGGTGGGGTACTTAGCATTAGTTATTTATTCCCCAAATCATTTTTTAAAATTAATTAATATGAGTAATATAGTAATTATACTTTATCATATCAATCATTATTATTTTTTAAATATGTAAAGTTTAGTATAAACAAATAAAAATAAACGAAGAAAATAATAATTTGTATATCACATCGTCGGACATAACTCGGTAGTTGTTCATACATGAAGTAGAAAGAGCCAACATAAATATGACAAAGTAAATTAGCACTAAGTCCAATAATTAAAGCCGTGTTGATTGGCACAACTCATTAAACTATACGTCAAGAAAACGTATGAATCTTACGTCCAATGTATATGATATGATGTTAATACAACAATTTAATTAAAGAAAGATTAATATGAATATAATCAACTTTAGATTATTAGGTGAGATGACTATCCATATTTTATGAAGGTCTTGCTATAGGAACCTATCTAGCTAATTAATACTCCAACATTTCAATATATATTGAACTTTTGCTATGAAGGTCCTGCTAGGAACTTTTGTTTTGATAGTCAACTATATATTAATCTAGCAAATAAAGCAAAAAGTAAAAGCTTAATAGAAAATGACATTAGATATATTTTACACTGATATTTGGGATCCAAAATAAATCTGAATTTGTTTAGATTTAGGAAATATTATTCTTTGAGAAATTTTGAGTGAAGTAAGATTGAAATCCTTGTTTGTTTATGGCTTGACCCTTTAACATTTAAATTGATTATATTGTCTATAAAATTGTTCAAGTAATCGGTGTTATAGGCATAGATCTGGTCAATGTTTTCAGTATCAACCATTAAGTTCGATTAGTCTTGTCAGTTGCATATATAGTAACTAAAGTTTGATTAGAATCATATTAGTAAGATAAAAACACAATTCAAACAATTATCCTAAATTCCACGATGGGTGCCAAACTGTTTACCCCTCAAAAGGTTATAGTTGAATGCATATGCAAAGTCTAAAGGATAAGAGATAAAGTTCCGATTTAAATTCGATAAATTGAGCATTAATGCTTGAGAGGATAAATCATAGATATAACAAAACTAACAAGAGATTATTAAGATAACGAGATAAGTGTCAAAAACACACCTAAACTGTATCTTTTTTTAGTTTCATACTTAAACTACTGAGTGTGAGTTTCATACACTGTCATATAATTAGTTATTAGTTTGAGAAACACACCTTAGTGGTATGTCTAATGCACTCTCTCTTTTATTTGAAAAACCATTGACACATAACATTTCACATGGATAAAATATTTCACCTTGACAAAAATTAAATAATAAACTATTAATATTAAATAAAAATTAAAGATTAAAGTACTACTATCACCAAAAAAAAATTAAAAATTAAATTATTTTTCTTACCCCACTCCACCATCTCCTCCCCGCAAAAAAATTGATATTATTTTATTTTGAAAAAATAAAAATTCTATCACATCCTATTTAACCCTCCGCTCCTAATTTATTTTTATTTTTTATATTTTTCTCATTTTGTGTTAGATATGTACATATACTTTTAGGAATTTTTTCTACTTGTGTACCGAATAACATAAATGAAAAAATTATTTTAAAAAAAGTCTATTGCAATAGCAAATAAAAAATATTTTTGATATGTATATATTTAACACAAAACGAGAAAAAATTTGAAAGCAGAGTGTTATGTGGAGTGGGTAAAGTTATTTTATTTTTTAAAAAAAAATCTCTAAATTAGTATTTTAAAGGGGTGGGGGATGAAGTAATAAAAAATTAAATACTTTTATAAAAGAAATTTAAACAATTACATTTTATTTTATAAAAAAAAATATTTTTTGTGATAATAATTTTTTAATCTTTAATTTTAACTAAAACTAATAATTTATTTAAGTGATAGTTTAGGTATGAAACTCACACTCTCAATAGTTTATGTATAAAACTTAAAAAAAAAAAGATAGTTTAAGTGTGTTTTTGACACTTATCTATATTACTAGTCCTGGACACGTACTTTGCACATGAGTCCCACAAAAATATTATATGTGGTAGGAGTTATATTAAAATCACATTGTGATAAATTTCACAAATAATTTAACGAAAAAATATAAATGAAATAAATAAACAATCAACCTATATAAATGACTTCTTTATTGTAAAATGTAAATGCTAAATAATTAGATATTCAGGTAACCTATCAAATTTGGACAACAAAATTTAATGTGATAAACATTGAAGTTGGCAATAATAATGTGAAATAAGTGTCATCAAGATAACTCTTCAGTTTTGAAATGCTTGGACTTCCGCTAACAACTTACTCAAGTTATTTCATCCATTCGAATGACTTTCTATCTTTCAATATCTTTATTAAATAATATAGGGAAAATGCTCAAATATGCTATCGAACTTTCAGAAAAGGCTCATTTATGTCATCCGTTAAAAATTTGGCTCATCTATGCCATTACCTTTTAAGAAAAGGCTCAGTCATGCCATTATTTTTTAACGGTGATTTTGTAAAACCATATTTTACACGTGACCAATTATAATTCGGCCACGTCATTATTATTTTTATAATAAAAATCAAAATTCTGAACAAATATTTTAACGGTGGTTTTGCAAAACCATTTTTTACACGTGGCCAATTATAATTCGGCCACACCATTATTTTTTTTATAATAAAAAATCAAAATTCTGAACAAATATTTTAACGGTGGTTTTGCAAAACCATTTTTTACATGTGGCCAATTATAATTTGGCCACATCATTAAATCAATTTGTTCATCACGAAACTTTGTTATTTACTTTGTTATCCAATTGATGAACAAATTGATTTACTTTTGGCTAGTTTACTTGACTCTGCCATTCTTGAATTGGATTCTTCAATAAGTGGAAGACTTGAAGAGTGAGTATTGAGCATGAGAACAACTGCACCCATGGTTGGTCTATTTGCAACGTCTTTTTGAACGCACAATAAAGCTATGTGGATGTATCTCACTATGTCACGATCTGGTCCTGAGCTTTCCTTCAACATGTGGTCGATCAAATTTGAATATGTTCCTTCACGCCAATTCGACCAAGCCTGTAACAGTTCAATTATAGGATCACACAAAATCATACAGGTGCTGCTAAATACTTTTGAATAAATATAGTTTACCAAAAGTCTAACAGTCTCCATTTGAGCGGGTTACTTACATAGCTCAAAAGGCATTCCGTAGATTCTCCATTTCTGAAACAATTGTTTCTTTGGCCACTTACAATTTCAAGGACTAGTACTCCAAAGCTAAAAACATCAGATTTGACTGAAAATTGCCCATGTAGATACTCTGGCGCCATATAACCACTGCAAAACCAAAACAAGTGGAAAACTTTTAAGTTCCCAAACCCCCATGATATACAAAATATACTAACAGTTCATTTAATGAGAGATGTAAAACTTACAAGGTCCCAACAACTCTGTCTGTGTTGCCATGAGTTTCATCCAATTTAAATAGCTTTGCCATGCCAAAGTCTGAAATTTTAGGATTCATTTCTGCATCAAGCAGAACATTACTTGCTTTGAGATCACGATGAATGATGCGAAGTCTAGAATCCTCATGAAGGTAAAGAATTCCCTTAGCAACACCTCCAATGATTGTTGATCGCCTTCCCCAATCCAATTGCCTACGTTTAGCTTGATCTGGGGACAACATAACGAGTATAACTTAGGAGTTAAATTTCTCTACACTAACATTATATCATTATTTTTTCACATCAAGTCACTTCAGAATAATCACAAATAATTGATGCTGAAGCTCCATGTTCGATAATAAGTTAAGCAATAGATACCAAATAAAAATTTGTCAAGGCTTACATTGGGAACAAATTCGTAGACAAGAAGTCTCTCTGTTCCATCTAGACAAAATCCCTTCAACCTAACCAAATTCCTGTGTTGAAGCCTGGCAACCAACAGAACCTCATTTTTGAATTCTAGTTCACCTTGGCCTGAATCTGCTGACAATCTTTTCACTGCTACATCTTGTCCATTTTGAAGTGTACCCTGAGGATCAGATGAGCACACAATGAAAAATCGATCAGTTATGAATTGAACAACAAAAGCCTCAATATCTCAAGCATTAAGTTGAGTCTTTTGTATGATTTTTTCATCAAACAAACCTTATTAGTTATTACCTTGTACACAGGACCAAATCCGCCCTCTCCCAGTTTAGTATCATTTGAGAAGTTATTTGTCGCTGCTCTGATGGTAGAAAATTCATATTGCAAGGATTCTGCAGTGCTAATATCATCCCCGAGTGTACCTTCACCAACCAAATATTCGATGAAACATGGGCCAGGTCAAAAGTTCAATATCCCTTAATAATCTAGGTTATCTTACTCTGAATTTTGTTCACCAGCTTCCTCTTTTGCTTCTTCATTATGATGACAAAAATGCATACAGTAAGAGTAATAACTGTAATAGTTGACACAATTATGATAATAATAATAATGGGTAGTCGAGTTTTCTTATCATCCTTCCTTATGATTGGAGCTGTTTTACCATCATTCCCTGTTGGAGCTGTTTTATTATGATTCCCTACAGAAGAAAAAGCTTCAAGTTAGCATAACCATCTTTTAGTTTAATTTTTACTCCTCTAATCTTGTGGTCTTAAGTGGAAAGTTAGAATTAAAGAGTTATCAAAAAAGTAGAGAGAATTTTTTTTTGAAATAGACTAAAAAAAACTACTAATTAGAATATATTATGTAATTCACCTGCAGGTGGCGGAGCTTGAAATGGAACGTCAGTGAAGAAACGATAAGTTTCATAACGGAAATAGCAGCTAAGTCCTATTATTCTGCCACTAGTCTTTCCCTTGCAGGGACAGCTAGGCATATTCCCATAAGCGCCAGTCAAGCAATCGAAGCAATTCTGAGGAGATAGATTAGGAGTGCACTGCACAAGTGCATATATAGTCTGGAAATCTGGACCTGTCGCATTACCACTAGCATATTTTCGACGGGGATCACCACCATTTGCAGCTTGGCCTCGCAAATCGACCAATAATTTTTCAAGATCCTGGTTAAATTCCTCCGGTTGTGAGGCATTCTCATGATTCCAGAAATAATATAGAGTAGGAAATGATGTAGTATCGTTTATGATGGATCGATTGGAGTACTGCAACAAACATTCATCATAGCCAGCATTAGCTTCTTTTTGGTTAGGACATATCTCTACAAGCCTTTGACCAATGTTATCGACACAATAGCGACATCGATCAAGCCCTATATCTCCTCTACACAGCACAATAGCACTGACCTTGTTGCTGTTTTGGCCAATGGAAGCATTGTAGAAACCATATTCATCGATATTTAAGGAAAGGGAATAGAGGAGGGTGTTTAGATTGTTCTTGTATGCACTATCTTCAGTATAGTTACCATTGCCACCACATTGAACGTATTTTAAATCGGACAGCTGCGCTAGGATGGGAGTATGATAAAGATGGATATGCAAAAAAAGAAAGAGTAGCCACTTCTGAATAACCATGGTCTTCGTCGTTATGGCTGTTTTAAGTAGCTCGATATATACAAGCTTAATTAGTTATTTTTGAAGAAAATGTAATACATACTATAATTGATTGGTTACAATTGGTAGGGAGATTGATAGTAATTCAGTGGCCATTGCTAAATGTGTAATAGTTGACAAATTAACACGCTGTTGGTCTATTTTTTAGTCTTGACAAATTGACTCTTAGAGTTTATGGATTTCAACTCTAATTTATGGATTGTAGTGGATGACAATAAGGCAACTAGGAGGGAATTTTTGGGTGCTACTTGCTCTTCTTTGAACATTTCAAACTTTATCAGATTCCAGTAAGTGTAATCCAACTGATTTGTATCTTATTATCTTTTTTCCTTGTATTAAAGTGATTCAAATTGAATTCACAAAACCAATTACCAACAGAAGTGGCCACCTAGCCTGCAGGGGCACATGATGCTTTGGAGTACCGGGTTTATCTGAGCACACTACTTCAACACTGACTATAAAATTTATGTATAAAATTACAATAAAAAGTAGATATGAACATATAACTTTAAATATATAATGGGTTCAATAATAAAACCTTAAAGATTTCAACCCATAAATCTTAAATCCTGCATTCAACACTCGTTGACACGAGTGGTCTATCCAGATTATTAGCATTCTACTCCTCTACTGATCATTCTGCATAATGTCTAATCGCTTATAGCGGTTAAGCATTTGTTCATGCCATAAACAGCATTTTGATAGAAATATGTATACATATGTAGCAAAAAAAATTTAAAAAGTATACATATAATTAGATTATACTCATTTTGAACCCATCAATTTTGTCTAGTGATATCTGATTTTCCACTTTGCTGGTCTACGTCGGAATCTGACCTTTCTCTTCCCTGAAAAATTACCATCTGATCCAACTGAAAAACGACAACTCAATTTTAGCGAATGGTGTTTGATCTTAATACCCAACATCCGATACTTAATCCTAGTCGCCACATCCACCTGCAATTTAGCAGTACTTTTGTCTGCTATACATTTTATTAGCGAACTCCATTTTTTCCTATCAACAATTAGCTGTAATTGCAAAAATGTGGTTGTCTTATGTCTCTTTTGATGTAAAGGAGGTATTGTTGTCTTTCCAAATCTTGATGACAAGAAATATAGTGCCAATTTCACTTTCATTGTTGTTGATGTGAACAGAAAAATCAAGAAGAGTGTAAACAGGAGTTTTTGGACGCATACATAGCCATAGAATTAAGACAAGTAGTCCCAACAGGACAACAAATGGTGAAAGACAGAGTTTGAAGCTTTTGCCTAAACACATGCCTTAATCTTGATAAAGAACTCGTAATATCTGGCTTAATTAGTATATATTTGTAGAATAACATGAATTAAAAAATTGAATCTTTTGGTCTTTTAGAAATCTGGGAATGAAATGTTAGTCCTATTATCTCCTTCAAAAAGTGCATTTAAGTAAGCTAAATTTACCACATGACCTTAATAAGAAGTTTCGATATAGTATGTAACAAAACACAAAAGAAGTTTCAGTTGATTTATGTCACAAGTGCAAACTTTTGTGGTACAATTTAACAAGCTTTTCGCTAGATATTGTTCCATTGTTACTCATAGTCACATTACTCATATATGCCACATATTTTAACCCTCGTTGCTTTGTCCTCCATTCAAATATCTTAAACTTAACTATAGTTTCCAAGACAAGAACGAAATTGATACTCCTACTGCCAATCTCTTGCCAAAATAGCTCATCAACAATATACATTTGGACTTCCTTTCTTGTAATATTTTTGTGGCCTTGGTAGATACCTTTTGTAGAATATTTTCCCACAACAAGACCATTGTAATTCAAAGTGAAATTGATATCATTATAGTAAATGCTAATACCTTTGTTGGGATTAAAAATTTCAACGTTTAAGAGGACAGAATTGTTGCCACTATGGAGAGAAGAATTCTTGATGTTGAAGACAAGAAAGGAGAAATCAACTATTGTGAAAATTGGATTTTTTGGAACCAAACAAAGCCACATGACGACAGAGGTCAAACATAAGACAGCTACAACTTGGAAGAACCAACAGTAGAGATCGAAAGAATCTTTAAATATCCTTCGATTATTCATTTTTGGTCAAATACTAGTACAGAGTTCAAGAAATTGAAGAAGCAAAAAATGTATCTTTTGAAGTTCATGAAGACTATATTTATAATTGATCGTGCTGTTATATATAGTTTGATTAGAAACCTTAGTAGGAAGGATAGCCAAAAAAGTACTTTATTTGCATTGCATGGTTGTGATCTATTCAGCTAAATAAAGGGCACTTTTTTAAAGAAGCAAATTAATTGGTTGGATATTCATATGCCTACACCAAAATGACGCTGGAAAGTAAATGTAGAAAGGACAATGTCTACTTTTAAGTCAATAATTTTTTTTGGTCGAAAACTTAAAGATGAAGCAGAACAAATAGTTATTATATCATGTTATATTTGTTATTCATCTTTTCCAGCTTTTATATTGTGAAAATGTCGATAGTACACAATCTAATTAAGGCCCGCCCCTTTGTTAAGTGATTCCATACAATCTAGTTATGATTATCGGATGTGCCCAGGGTTCCGGTGGAATAAATAAGATCTCTCGACTTACGAGATGCACATTAAAGGAGGAAGATAAAAACAGAGGATGCCCTTGCCTTTTAGAGTAATTTTGGCAGGGAAAGCATGTATTGCTTTTCACAATCAAATACAAAAAAAAAACGAAAATTCAATGAGACGAAAACATGAATCGAAATGTCTAATTAAAATATTCCGGACATCTCTTATCTATGTAACCAACCAAGATCATACCATCTTGTCCTACTCCAACAGGACAATTAGCATGCATCCTATGATGTTTACTTTTCCACGACCATATCTTAAATCGAATCCTGGCTGTCAATTCTACCCGGAAAACCACCGTTCCTCGAGACCGGTCATCGAGCATTTGCTGCCACTGTGTTCCGGTCACCGTCACCATGGGGCCAGAAAATGTACCCGCAAGAACAGTAGTGTTTTTGGGCAGTTGATAAAATGGAGTCAACAATTGTGAATTCCCAATACTCTGTTCTTGATAAGTCGCTGCCATCTGTATTGCATCATAAAAAATCCCAATAACTTGATTTGAATTTCGTGCTGTTACGTTAAAGTTGATTTGGGCACTTTCAGGTCCAATTCCCTGACTTATAGCTGGAATTGAAAAGTCATGTAGGAAAATTCTTGGACGATGAGGGCGCAAACCTAACCATAAAATAAACGCGATGATTCCAAGAATAGAAAGAAGTGTTAAGAAAATTGTACAAACTACTTTGGAAACTCTAGTAGTTAGACTCTCTTTAATATGGTGAGCATAGTATCGAGCCGAGTGGTGTCTCCTTATAGGGTGGTCTTGATCCACATAAACAGGCAACTCGTGCGCGTTATCCATTTTCACAGGATACATAGTTGAGATTAATGTTGTTCTTGAGGTTGAAGAACATGACCAAATTTAGGGGACATGGGGTTATATATGGTAAGATTAGTTAGCTGGAGGACAAAGTAATGTCAAAGAATGTTTCAAATTTTTCAAGGAAGTAAAGAATAATTGAATTGAACTTGTTACATTCTTGATAGACAAATATTTCTTGTATAGTGCAATGCAATTCCTAAAGTCATGTGCAAGTATACTTTGTTCAATAGTACTCAAAAAAAAAATGTTCTCTCTTGCCAAGTATACTCGTGGAATATACCAAGTGCATTTCTTTAGAATCTTTATATTGCTTTCGATGTTTTCAAACTAAAACGATGAGTTTCTATTGATTTGCAATCTTGCATATCTTCGTTTGAGATTAACTACTATCCACTTACGGTGGACAAGAAAATTACACAATTAACTCATTTTTAGAAATACTTATTTTTCTTCTTAGTTTAATTAATATATTTTCACATTTAATTGATTAATTGATTTTTTTTCTTTCTTTTATTAAAACACGTTGAGGTTTATCATCTTTCTCCCTCTCTTTCCTACCTTTCTCATCTATTTCTTTGGATCTTCTTCTATCAATATCAAAAATATTATGCAAAATTGCAGAAATGGTGTGTCTATATTTCCAATTGTAAGATTACTACATTTAATTTTTGGGATTTGTCCAATTTACTGAAAAGTTCTAAAAAGCATTCTCTAAAAATCATTGTTACCACAAAACATAAAATTCTTCATACATTGGAACAAGAAAAAAAATTCTTTGAAATAACATTGAAATATTTTTTATACAATCGACTTTGAGTATTTACTAATTTAGATTCTGAAAAGGAAAATAATAATGAGTAAAAATTTATCATTTTTTTATCTCAAATTTCTTCAATTTTGTATGTCAATTGCTTTAATGGTGTTGACGGAGAATGAGCGTGAAAATAATAAGGATAAAGAAAGCATGAAAGTATCCTTCTTACTTTTGATAAGTCAAGTAAGAATTCTTAACAAACTCATATAATTAATTTAGAGTCCAAGTTACCATATAACACTCTTTTTATTAGTTTTTAATAATATTAATATTATGTGATTTTTTTAAAAAAAAAATTGATATGTATTTCTAAAAATGAGATGATAATGTAATTTTCTTTTCCACCGTCAATGGATAAAAGTTAATCTCATCTTGGTTTTATATAAGTCATTGAAGAAAGGTAAGTTTTAGATTGTGGACCGTCGCTTGTGCTACTGCTGCATTAATTTGTCTTTCTAACACCGTCACGGAGCGTATGTGCTTACAAGTTAACGGAACTAACTATTCAAAAGACCTCTTAAAATTTTGAAAAAATTATAGGAGTAAATGGTATCTATGAACAAAATATAGGATTATTTTCCCGAAGTCATTTTCTTAAGAAACTTATTTCCTAAATGTTAATTTTTTTTTGAAAAAGGGTTAAATATTCCTAACTACTTTTGGAAATAGTTTAAATATGTCTCTCATTATACAAATATAACTCCGTTATACCTTAGATTCAAATATATCCTTTTCATTATATTTGGCACAAATTTGCTCTTACTCTTAACGAAAAGACATAAGCACAAAATCAAATGACTCACCCCCAAATTTTTATTGAATTATTTTTATTTTCTTCTTCTTAAAAAGAGTTAATAACAATGCGAAAAATTGGATCATTTGTCTTTTCTTTCGGATTGAGGTCTTTAATATAAATATATAAATTATTTTTTATTGTGTTTTGCCTTTTTTTAAAAAGTGTCGGTACTCAGTAATACTACTAAAATCTCTTTTAAGAATTTCCAGTACCCGAAAAGCCACCCAAAAGTTAATTGCTATCACCGTTCATTATTTACCTTGTTGTAGTAAGAAGATTGCGGTACAGTGATCATATTGAACAACGGTCTTCTTTAATTTGTGCTGGAAAAGCACAGCACAACTTTGTTAAGTGATACGCATATTTTATCATTTATATTATAGCACAAGAAATTTGTAAAGGAAAAGAAAAAAAAGAACTCAAAGCTAAGGAATGAGTTAAACAAGTGGGTTTATAAAGAAATTGGGAGTGGATCATTGATTCTAAGCTTGTTAAGTGTCTTTCCGTTAAAATTAAAGGTGAATTTGCGCCAAAATATAATAAGAGTGGATATATTTGGCCTAAAAGTATAACCAGAAGAGTACTGAAAATATAATAAAAAGGTATATTTGAACAATTTCGAATTGTAGAGGATATATTTAACTCTTTTCCATTTTTTTTACCAATTAAAAATTAAAAAAAAAAAAAAATTCTAGAAAAGGGTTTTATCCATACCAAACAGAAGTGACATATAATAAATCATCATCGCACTTGATGAGTTCTTGATCATTATTCATTACTTATATTCTAGTTCTAAGAGTTTCAAATTGTGTTATTAAAAATGAATCAGCAAACAAACAATTTGTCCTTTTCTCGAGAATGTCCAAATTATTATGGGTTCATTGTATTGATCAGTTGATAATGATAATATTTTGTAGCTAAATAAATAACTTACTTGTATTTAAGTAATAAAAAGAACATCAAAATATCTAAACAAATAACTTACTTTTCATAAGTAACAAGAAGAACATCAAAATATGTTGTTGTAATATACTACAAATACAATATATTACAGTTGAAAATAAAATGATAAAAATGAATAAACAAATCTTTAGGCTGAGGCACGGATATCTCGCTCTCTTTAAGGAGACTCAAGTTTACTGCGGCATAATCTACACCGATCCAGCAGTAATACTCTTGACTTATCCCTCGAGGATACAACATCCCAACAACGTCGTACAACTCAAACAACTCCGGATTAGTTGAAGAGTCAAAAGCTTCACATAAGAACACCTTCCTCTAACATATAAATACTCTCTTTTGTATAGTGAATATAGTTGAAGACTTAGAATATTTTTCTATGTATCAACCCTCTCTTTCACTACACTAACCTCAATATAAACTTTTCATCTTTTCTTACACTATTTCTCTTCCACTTCTTCAACCCAAAGGAAGACCACTATTTATAGGTGATGAATTCTTCCTTGCAATGAATATGAAGATAATGGGTAGTAAAAAGGATAAGTGAATGACCTATAACTTACATAGGTTACCAGAATAAAGAGGTAGAATAATGGGTGGAAATAGTGGTAGATCATGGCAATAGTGGTTACAAGAGTTGCACCAAAGTAATGACCACATTCTTGTCAACTTATACCCACTAACATATGCACTTAATATTTTAATTTTAATATTAAAATGCATAAACACCAACAAAATATCTAAACAAATTACTTACTTTTCTCAAGTAACTCTTAGAACATCAAAATATGTTACCATAAAAATACTATTGAAACAAAATAGATTGTCAAGGACCTGAAGAAAATAAGATAGATAGTTGATCAATTCTAGTATTATTATTATACATGTTGGATAGAATGACACTGTAAGGCCCAATGCAAATTGTGGCCCAATAAACTAATATGGCCCATATATTTAGGTAGCTAAATTAGTTAGTTAACTATAAATATCTTCAATATACTTCTAACGAGTAACGAGTACCAAGTCTTTTCCACTCTATACTCTTTAATTCAATGATAGTTTCTCTCTCTCTCTACTTGTAAGTTCTTCGATTTTCTCCTATTGAGGATCTTGAGTATAATAGTAACTCAATTCAATACACGACTTTCTCAAAATTCCCTCGTAACATATTTCATTAAAGAAGATCAACTATAGAAATCATGATAAAAAAGTGTAACACATATTCCCAAAGCTAGTATATTCTTTATTCTTCTTGACATCTTAATGTCCCCTATTTATTTATTTTTGGGAAGAGAAGTGATGATGCTAAACTATATTGGCTCCAATAAAGAGCAACTTTCACATATAGCAAATATAAAAATCATATTTGTATGCTATAACTATAATTTGCATAATTACGCTCCATAGCAAACATAAATATGTATATTTCGCTATACATATACAAAAGAAAGCAACTGTATATTTTGTTTCGGTATACATATAAAAAAGATCAATAGTATAATCTGTGTTTGTATAACGCGAGAAAGAGAGAAAGACAAAAGAAAACTGACTGGGGAAGATCGTATTTGTATAATCATAAGTGTATAGGACAAAAATATATGCATTTGTATTTGTATATACAATTTTCTCTCGCTTTATACAAACACAAACGCAATGTACACATCTGTGTCTGTATAAAGTGAGAGAGGCGAGTGAGAGTGGCGAGCGAGATCTGGGAGAGGGGAACGAAAATATATGTATATATACAATTTTCTCTCGCTTTAAACAAACATGAACACATTTTATACATTTGTGTTTGTATAAAAGCGAGATTCAAGGGAGACTGCCCAGCGAGAACGAGAGTGGCGAGCGAGATTTATCAGGAAAGGAGAGAGGCGAAATAGCAACAGTTTGCTATGAGGTACAATTAAATCAAACTATGATTATAACATTTAATTTGAATTAATAATTTGTTATTATATACTATAATCACATTACATCCCCCCAAAATTGTGAAATAGTGCGGGCAAAATGTGCAAAAATGAGATCCACTATAGTACCTGGAAAGGTAGCAAGATATCCCTTAAAAGGTTCAAGATAGAGTTAGGCCAGAGTAATAACAATATCATACTATATAGTACTTATCAATGTGAATATCCACGTATTTATTTATCAAAAATACTACTACCACAACAACCCACAATCAAATTAATGTGGTGCTCTTTTGGACCGACTGGAATGAATATTCATGTTATAACAAATATCACATCTTAATTGGTCGGTCTCCCACTGAAAAAGTTTAAAGAGATCGATGATGTGTTCTCTCTCAAAGAAAGAGGGCGATGAAGTAGTTTGCAGATGGCTAAAGTAGTTGTTTTAATACATAGTCATTCTCTAATTTTAGGAGGATATTTCATCTACAGGTTCAAATTAAGTCGGATTATATTTTAATTGAGCATCTCAATTTTAATAAAGTGTTTCAATTAAATATTT